AACAGCGCGAGCAGATCCGTGCTCAAGCAGCCCAACAAGCTCGTGAACGGCACGACAACACGGCAAAACCCCCGTACAGCATTCGGGCCGGAGTTGCCAGTGATGTGACATGTGGTGTGACATGTGATGTTACGGTGATGAATCCACGCACAGGCCGGTGGGACCGGACTGGTGCGGTCATCGGGGTTGGTGATCACCATGGCCATCTCGTGAAAATGCCTCGTGGGCGCATTCTTTGGCGCAACTGACGATTTCTGTGTGTTTATCGCCCCCTGCTACCGTGTTCGTGTGTCCTGTATGGCAAGGAAACCCCTAGTGAGTGCGAACCCGTCTACAGAGCGCGGAAGTCCGCGCCACGGCCGTGACGGTCAAGTTCCACGGCATGTGACGTTCAATCTCGACGGTTCAGTGGCTCCCCGTGCCACAGATCCCAACAAAGCATGTGTGCCGGCGTCTTTACTCCGCGGTGAAAGACTCAGCAGTGACGTAGCGGTATAGTAACAGAAACAGCAGCAGTGCAGTGACGCGCCCCCCATCGGCTCGTTGTGGATCCCCGACTGCAATCGTGCGACTGATTTGGTGGCCAAGATTGACGTCTGTTTCCAAGCCTGCCGAACGCTTTTGTCACCCTGTTGAGGTCGACCGTAGGTCGTAGTCAGTTTGTATTTGTGATCTACTAGCCTGTTATCGCTCTCTGTGTATGCATGTCAAATGTTGAGTATTTCAACATGCGTAACAGTTCGCTGTAATGTGTATGCGGCGTATGTGGCGTGCATGATTTGCCCATAAAAATGTACCTTAATGGTAGCGTCACAGCGTTTTTGAGCGAGGTGTGATAATCTGGAACCTGAGGCGCCTCTGTGACCGATGACCGCCCCCGGCAGCCGCCTGGGCTGGCCGGGCCGGCCTGCGGCGCGGGAGAGATGGTGCGGGGGACATGCTGAGTGGACGCATCTGTGCGGGCACGCCAGTAAACCTACTTACCAGCGACGCACTGCCCCGGGCCATGACCCTTCACCTCGGCCTGCATGGTGACATGACCCATGACCCATCGTCCTGGTAAGTTCAACTGATAGAGCAATGGTCTGCCGATCAGAACACCCTGGCTCGAATCCTAGCAATTCCAATGAGGTAATTTGAGCTGACGACGGCCAAATAATTATCTGGCTGAAACGTGTAAGAAGTACCACACCAGGCGAAGACACTAGTCCGAACAATTACTCACTCCGCGGAGCCCGTGCCTCGTCTCGATCCTTCCGTGAAACAACCGCCTTTGGTAGGAATTTTACATGCATGCAACTTCGCGTGCAATACCTAGCTTTATATGCGCTCAGGTGGAGTTGGGCCAATTTGATACCCCAAAGGTTCTTTTATCCTTTTCATCCTTTTTATCCTTTCTTCTTTATCCCTAAAGATCGTTTATCCGGAATGATTTCCAAATTGCGCGGCGTAACCGCGCCAAATTTTACACACATGCAAACAATTGAACAGTGAGTCGTTTGGTATCGAATATTTAAGGGCAACTTGTAAGGTTGCTGACCTTCAGCAGGTTAAGGTCAGACCATGGATTTAACGAAAAAAATTTCAAGGGCATTGTTCAATCTGATGCAACAACTAAGGGTTAGACGGAGCCATGCATGTCTGAGATAGTTTCTTAGGCAACACAACAACTGAATGAACCTATTCCATTGACCTAGAGACAGGTATGAAGGTCAGGTCAAGGTCAAACCAAACCTGTCTTATATTTCTGCAGCTTATTGTATTATATTTTGAATTTATTGGTGACAAGAACCACATCACACATCTTCTATGGACTTCGTAAAGGTCAGAATAGGTCATTGACCTAAAATGTCCCAGGTCGACAGCTTGGTTTTTGGAGCACACTGTTAAGTGTAATATTTGGCGTTCATTCAAGTAAAAAAACAAAAACAAGGCAGTCTTTTATTATTTTGGTCACCATGACTCTGGAAATGTCAAACAAGGCCATTTACCTTACATAAGCACGAGTGATGTTTTACTAAGAACAGGCATCTAGGTTCACGGTAGTAGCATGAGATGGCCTAGGGGCACTTTAGTCACCAATTTAGAGTTTTAACCTTGTTCGACCTTATTTGACCTGAAGATAATGACTTTGGAACCTCCAATTTTGATTCAAATGAGTTCACGTACAGCCCAACACACCCGGTGAATTTGGTGTCTTAAGCTCTCTTAGTTTTTGAGATCTCGGCGGGGCTTAAACTAACCCACACCCGAACAGAGGGTATATAACCAACCACCCGGGCGCGTGTTAATACACTCCTCAAGGACATCAGTTACGCACCCCTCTACTAAACAGCCCATCGTCAACCATGCGTCATTGCCACCAGATTGCAGTACGAACTGCAAATAGAGAGATGGAATGTAGAAATTGAACCCATGTTGCCATCCATTCACGCCAGGGACGCAGCCAGACTTTGAGACGGGGGGGGGGGGGGGGGGGCTACCAACACAGGCGACGAGGGAAGGCTAGGATCGTAGTCCCAATCGCAGTCACTTTACGGAAGGATCGAGGCGAGGCATTGCACCACAGTGTAAGCAATTGTTCAGACCTTTGACTTCGCCTGGTGTTTTAGTATTTACGCTACGTGTCGGCCAGTTGATTGCCCAGACGTTGTCAGATATTACGGAGTCTTGGGTTGATGTTCGTCTTTCAGCCATGTTCACGTCACGGCCAAAATTATTTTCATGGAATTGCAGGCATTCAAACCGAGGCCTACCTTAGATGCTACTTTTTCCAGGAACAAGAAGGGGACACGTCTTTCCAGTTTGCTTAGTTGGCGGTGCACTGCACTGTTTTAGAAGACCCTGGTTCAAATTTCAGCAATAAGAGGGAAAAAATCGTGCTGTGACTCGTACATGTCTTAAAGTCAAACACCACCCACTGGTTATCAGGACTCCATAACACCTGACGGTGGTAGGAATGTCAACTAGCGGCAGCTTTGTGTAAATACCAACACATCAGAAGTGAGCAACAGACCGACTTATGTGGCGAGCAGTAAACCGACTTACGTGACTTATGCGCCGTGACAAGCAAAAAGCTGCGCCGCATTCTGACAAGCCATGGGGAAGGGGGGGGGGGGGCCTGAAACCCGATGCTTGACTCTGGTCGCGTACAAACAGAAAACCTCATCCAGAAAGTACTGCATAAATCGCCAACATGCCCACAGATGAACAGAATCAACACCCCTTTGATACTAGGCCCTTAAGCCAGCACCTGCTCTGTCCTAGAAGTACCGTGCACCTGCCCTGTGTCCGCCTCCATCTGTCTTAGCCGCCAGGAGCATCATAATTCACTCCGGTACCAGGACGCTAAGAGGGTTAGCTCACTGGTGTGCATACGTGCATGCGTGCCACGCTCCCGCCAAAAGCGTGGACTCTTGCTTAGATATCGTGTATTAAACCGCACCGTTCGAGGTGGGTCTGAGGCGACCACATCAGCATGAACATGGAACACGTCTCAACGGCGAGCGTTGGCGCGCTGGGAATTGGAATACCTCCCCCAGCTGTCGTTGCGGATGTTCACCAAAATAAAGTTGGGGTAGCGCCATTTCGCCGACCAAATGCGTGTGAGCCTCTGCATGACCTAGTTTCCCCGAAATGGTGATAAATCGCAAAAGCGCGAAGACATTCAAGGATACTTGATAAGAAATCGTGGAATGAGCAAGTTTCTTTCTTTGCTATACGCAGGGTACGCTGAGAGTCCTATGATCCCCGACGCCAAACGAAAACGCCGTCGATGGCTCCCCGCCGGCAGAGAGACGTCCAAGTACCGGCCGAAAGCTGGCAAAAATGTCCCCATATGTGCGAAATAGACTCGTCCAAGCGACCATGGCGACCGTGGTAAAGCCGTACAGCCAATGAGCGAGTTCGCATAGGTTCAACTACTGGGGAAAGAAACCACGTGAGCAGCACCGTCCCCTGCCGACAGCCGTATTTCCCGCTCGCGGGGTCGAAACAGCCAGTCAGCGTGACGGGCGAGGGCCAAGGTGACCTTGAGCGGCGACTGGTCTCCGCTTCGCGATGCAGCGCCGCGCAGCTCAGGTCCACACTCGTGGACGAAGGGCGCGAGGGCGGACGTCGCTGTTAGCTGCTCCTAGCTGAGGGGAGTCGGCCTGCGCTGACGCCGTGCGACGCCTGCTGACCGGTGCTGGTGCCTGCTGAGCTCTGCTGATTCGTGCTCGTGTCTGACGCTCCAGCCATGCCGTCCGTGTTTGGATATTGGACCCTACGGGGTCTGGGCCAGGCCTGCAGGTTCATGCTGGAGTACACAGGCGAGGAGTACCAGGACGACCGCTATGACGCGGTAAGACGGAGAATACTGTGCTCCTTTGAGCTCCACGTGATGTCATCCGGCACCATCCAGACTTGATCTGTCGTGTCGCTGTTTTTCTGTGCTGATATTGAAGCTATCCACCGCGATATCGCGATGTCTGTCGTGGTTTCGCACTGCTCTCAAGAGCGGTAAACAGGTTTGAATTTCATCGTTAAATCATTTGCTTTATGCAGTGAGCTGTTACTGTAAGTGAGGTATGATAAGTGGGCTTTGCGCTGGATCCCCAACAATTCAAAAATGACACGAGGTCTGAGGTTTTGCATGCAAAGTATGAACGCACAAACCCCGTTAGGGGCAAGTATGTGGCTCGCCTCAGGTTGTAACGTAGGCCTATGTTAGCAGCCTCAGCTTTCCCTTTTTTGTGCCGAGTTGCTAGTGGATAGGCACTAGATAAGAAATGTAGTTGATGAAATAGGTAAATTGTAAGGTTAGACGCATGGGCTTGGCGCTTGAACTTCTGCGGGACCCGTGAATCATGCCTGCAGTAGGCTGCAGTGCCCGAATGACATTTGCCTCTGTGTTTGCCTTGCGCCTGGCTGCAGACCAACCCCGAGAAGTGGCAGGAGGTGAGACCAAGAACCCACACGGCCTTGCGTTCCCGAACCTGCCGTACTACGTGGACGCGATGTGAAGATGTCGCAGAGTGCGGCGATCATACGCCACCTGGCGAGAAAGAACGACATGGTCGGCACCTCGGACCACGAAACCCGGCAGCTGGAGATGCTCGAGGGAGTGGTGAGCGAAAGCGTGACCCTGGTCTGGTCTGGTCAGATGTGTGGGCTCGTACTTGGGCGGCTGCGACAGGATAGCGACGGGGCCTTACTCTTCGCGTGCCTCTGGCTGGCTGTACGAATGGCTGGAACGTTTGGCTAAGGCGGCGGGCCTGTGTGGTGTGTGTGTGGTGGTGTGTGTGGTGTGTGTGTGTGTGTTGGTGGGTGTGTGTGTGTGTGTGTGTTGTGTGGTGTGTGTGTGTGTGTGTGTGTGTGTGTGTGTGTGTGTGTGTGTGTGTGTGTGTGTGTGTTGTGTGTGTGTGTGTGTGTGTGTGTGTGTGTGTGTGTGTGGTGTGTGTGTGTGTGTGTGTGTATGTGTGTGTGTGTGTGTGTGTTGACGCAGGTCGTTCATCCGTGCACGCGATGGAGGTCGTTCATCCGTGCGTGCGAAGCAGGTCGGCATGCGATGCAGGTCGTTCATCCGTGCACGCGATGCAGACCGTTCATCCGTGCACGCGGTGCAGGCCGTTCATCCGTGCACGCGGTGCAGGCCGTTCATCCGTGCACGCGATGCAGGTCGTTCGTCCATGCATGCGATGCAGGCCGTTCATCCGCGCATGCGATGCAGGTCGTTCCTCGGTACATGTGATGCAGGTCGTTCATCCGTGCATGCGATGCAGGCCGTTCGTCCATGCATGCGATGCAGGCCGTTCATCCGCGCATGCGATGCAGGTCGTTCATCGCTACATGTGATACAGGTCGTTCATCCGTGCATGCGATATAGGCCGTTCGTCCGTGCATGCGATGCAGGCCGTAACGAGAACTCGATCCAACTGAACGACACGCTAGTGTGCTTGTGATGTTAGTGTCGTGTGACGCCCTCCTCCCTGACCTAGGTCAGCTGCCGCATGTGCGTCGTCCGGGCAGTTCAGACCAAGCCAATTCCGAACACATATGTTTGATGGCCGAGAAATGAAGTGTTGTGGGTAGCCGTAAAACTTTTTTTCGGAGTGAATGTGCCTTTTGTACGATTCAATACGCATGTTTGGTTTGCATCGGCTCCAGAAGTGTACATTTCCTGCATTATTTGCATTTTAGCGTTCCAACAGACATGGAACTTGCCCGAACACGACGTATGCAACTGAATAAGTGTAGCCAGGTGATCAAAATATAATATAACCACACCATTGGCACACATTCCTCCTGATTATAAAAAACAGCCTAAAGTGTCACACATATGCTGTGAAGTACCAGGGAATGTCTTAGCTCTTGCGGACAGTATGCAGAAATGAGAAAAGAAAGAACAAATCCATTACGCCACTCTGTTTACCAGTTTTGGATTGGAAGAGGTGTCGACGGCACGACCTCTGCAAAAGAGGCAGCTTCTCCCAGGACTAAGAGCATGAAAAATGTGATGGATTCGGTTGGGCTGACCCGACCGGAGCTAAAAGTCCTGTCATTGTGTCGTGTTTGGTGATGTAGAGGAGTGGGCGAAGGCCGACCTCCTACGCTGTTACCACGGACATTTTAGGTGCCCACAGTCATTTAAAAAACAGCTGCTTTCGTTGTTACCAACATGTACAGCAATGTTGTTGGTGTAGTTGTTGACGAACAAAAAAACTGTTGTGAAAATGAACTTTTTTTAGATTTGGGACCTGCGTGTGTGGATGGGCTTCCTTTGCTACGGCACCGAAGAGTCTTTCAACCAGACGCTGCCGGCCATGAAAGAGCGCGTCTCCAGCTGCTACAAGCAGCTCAGCGACTACCTCGGCTCCAACAAGTGGTTCCTCGGCGATCGCATCACCTACGTGGACTTCCTCTTCTACGACCTGTTCACCAACTGGCACGACCTGGACTCGCACCTGCTGGATGCCACTGAGAACCTGCGCACTTTCCGCCAGCGGTTCGAGGCTCTACCCGCCATCAAAAGCTACATGACCTCGGACCGGTTCATTAAGTGGCCCATCAACGGACCCTCCGCCTTCTGGGGCGGCAAGTAGGGCTGGCCGGGATCGCCGCGATGGCTGATCACTCGCCGACTTCGGGGACGAGCCGCCGGCCACCCGGGGGTGGGGTGGGGAAGCTGCCAGGGAGGAGCAGGCAGACCCGCGCTTGACGGCCCAAAAGAAGAGAGGTGGGTGGCTCTTTTGGCTTCTAGTGTTACGTTTGTCTCCGTCCTGTTTATGTTAAAGATCTTGCCATGTCTAAATAAAGACCGCATGAAATCGTGTATCGAAAAAAACGAATATGGGCATGAATTCCAGCATGCCGAACCTATGATGTTATTGCTTCGTTTGTCACCATTTCATGCTGCATTGAATCAATACAATGCCAAAGTGTGAAGCGACTTTAATATGTTCCTCTGCAATACTGCAACACATTTCTGTTGATACTCATGCGAATAAGAAAAGCATCTTGAGCCTCGTTTTGTTAGGATCTTGCTGCGTGCCCGTAAACTCTGTGGAACGAGAGCGTCCGAGAACAATGCCGTATGACTCATTATTCATTTGCTAAAGGGAATGTGCCGCTCGCCGTCGCGCCCTTTTATGGGGCGCCAGCGACTGCCTCCGTCATATTAGCGCTCAGGGTCATGGCGCGACCAGGATTCGAACCCGGCCACCCACGTGGGAATCCGATGCCCCAACCACCTGGTCATTACGCCCGCTCATTCCTACAGATCCGAGTCAAACTATGCAGCGCGGACATCGTCGGATCACCAGAGAACGAAGCAGTTCATCCGTTCATATGTTCAAATTTGGTTGTATCTTACCTTGTTTGTCCTAGCCGTGTCGACCATGTTGGGTCTCCACGTCAGGTCTCCATGATCAGGTATGCTTAATTGGCATTTTGCCATCGTCTCATTTGATTGGTTAGGAAAACGCTCGGACTTATCACGGACTTCTCACGTTTATCGTATGCCGAAGACTTGCTCATTCGGATCCTAGCCCTGTAGTTGCACAGCTTTTAAGTGCGGCCCGGTACACTAGAGGCTAGTCTAGTCTAGTCCGTGTCCGTGAAGTTAACGATTTATTCAGCGATTTTGTCAGTGACGAGTTCCGATTTCCCTGAAAAACGGTCTTGGGGTCAATTGTGAAATGAGAACACCAACAATGACCTTTATTTTGCTATATCATGTGACCTTCAAGGTCAAAATCTGGTTCAAAGGACGGGCTTCTGCAGCTTATTGACCTCAAAATGCAAACATAATTGAGCTTATGGTAGCTCCTGGTTTCTGTTGTGGTTACAAGGTAAAAATAACAATAAGTCCAAGAAAACCGTGTCTCTTGTTAAGAAGTAAGCGATATCCGGAGATTTTTTTTGGGGGGGGGGGTGGGGCTCACCATAAGGTGGGCTTTTGTCGACCCTGTGTTCCCCCATGGCAAGGCTCTGGCTACGCCCCTGCCTACACACAAAAGCGGATCCAGTCGCGTACGTCGCATGATGGGCAGTGAAGTGTCCGTTTGCCCATTCCATTCCTGAGGCAGACAGCTTCGCGAAGGCTATTTTTCTGCGATGGTGTGGTATGAGGGAAGATAATTCGGGAAAATACTGTTGCAGGTGTCCATCACATGTTTCATACACCATGTAGAAGTAACGCTGATCCAAAAGTATGCAACAAAGTAGCCACACGATCAGCTCGCAGTCAGTCATGCGGGAGACATCCAGGCCAGGGCAGTGACCACCGACGGCGGACAGGAGCAGGGTCCAGATAAGGAACATATGACGGATGTACCTTATTATGTGTTCGTGTGAAAGAGTTTGTTAGCTTTCCGGACGACCATCGACTTGATTCGAAAACAGACGTTGAAAAGGAATAGTCTCTATTAGCTAAAGAGTTGCAAAGTGAAGGTAAGAGAGGCGTTGGAAGAGTGGCGTCGCACACTCCGATGTCGTCGTCGTCGTAAGCGCTGACACGGCTCGCGTCGAGCCGCGCCGTTGGAGCCTGAACGTGGGCTGACAGGCAGAGACCGTGCGTCCCTGCCCGCGTGTTCCATAAACCCACGTGGCCCACATATGGGCTCCGGATGGTGGGGACCAATCGGCCGAGGGACCGCCCACACCAACGCGGAGACGCCGCCGCCGCGTCGGCAGCGACGGCCCGTTTGTCCGCTAACGTAGCCAGCCCGGTTTTTCGCGCCATTCACGGAAAATCCAAACTACAGGGGAGCAAACCATGGTCATAAACTTCACACATGTCGAATAAACGTAACATTATAACTATAGCACTATAAACATCAGCAGCTAACTAACGAGCACTGTTCGTCCGCGGCAGGCGGGCCTTTTTGCACCAGCTACATTTAGAGCTAATGAACGGCCATAAACTAAGGCTATAACTACGTCTACACTCTACAGCACGAACGCTCGCGGCGCGCGTGGAACAGGAATCACAATGTCCCAAACGACATCATAAACTATTTACTGCAGTATCGAGGCGCACATGGTCACAGCGCGGCAGCGTCGCACGGCACCGCCATGAACTACTCACTAGGCGGGGCGCGCACGGTCACCGTCCCGTCACATCAGCGCTCGGCTGCGTCATGCTCGAGGCGGCAGAGACGGGTGATAGGCCGCCTATATTGCCCGGTGGGTGTCGCCACGTCCACAACGAGAACCCGACCGTCTGCGCCAGGGAGCACGCGGGCCACTCGTCCCATTGGCCAGTGCCCACGGGGCACGTTATCGTCCGCCAACAGCACGAGTTCGCCGACCTCGATGTCGGCCGTGTCTCTGCACCACTTCGCTCTCGTGGTCAGCGTGGGAAGATATTCTCGCTGCCAGCGCCGACAGAAGTGATCTGGCAGCACCTGTGTGTGCTTCCAGCGCCGTCGGCGGCACAGGTCACCATCCTCGAACACGCCAGGAGGCAGCTGAGGAGAAGCCCTTCCGATGAGCAAGTGGTTCAGCGTTAGTGGCTGATAGTCGTCGGAATCGGTGCTGACATGCGTCAGCGGTCGGCCGTTGAGGGGCGCCTTGACTTCGGTGACCACCGTCCGAAGCGTCTCGTCATCCACAACCCTGTCACTCAGCACGGTCGACAGGGCACGTTTTGCTGAGCGCACCAGACGCTCGAACACGCCGCGGATGTGGGGCGCAGCCGGAGGGTTGAACTTCCACTCCACGCCTTCTTGTGAAAGCGTGTCAGCAATCTTGGCCTGGTTCCACTGTTGCAGTGACTGGCGCGGCTCGCGCTCACCGGCTCGGAGATTTGTCCTGATGTCCGAGCAAACCAGCTTGGTCTTGCCGCGTCTCGCCATCATGCGTCTCATCGCCATGATGAATGAGTCGATGTCCAGCGAGTGAGCCAGCTCGATGTGAACTGTTCGAGTGGACAGGCAGGTGAACAGACAGCCGTATCTCTTCTCCCTTTTACGCTGTCTCTTCATCGCCAAAGGTCCGAAGAAGTCCACGCGGCTGGCAGGTCGCCCATCAATGGTGGCATTGCCCGAGCTGACCGTTTACGACACACCATACAGGCGCGGGTGTATCGCTTTACGGCGCCCGGTCACAGATGACCCAGAACTGCTGCCGGATGTGAGTCAGGTCGTGTTCGGCGCCCGCGTGTGCTAGCTTCTTGTGATGGTTGGTGACGATCAGCAGTGTGGCGTCTCCCTTCGCAGGTAGTATTACCTGATGCTTGGCTTCGTAGTCGGGCTGGGAATGACGCAGTCGCCCTCCGACTCTCAGCAGGCCGCCCGAGTCCATGAAGGGCACTAGCTGGTGGAGATGGCTGCCGGTTGGTAGTCGTTTTCCTTGTTGCAGAGAGGCGATTTCGGGGCCGAACTGCTCTGCCTGGGCGTTGCGGAGCCAGACTTGTTCAGCGTCACGCAGCTGGTGGACGGTCAGTGGCCCCGATCGTCGATCCGTCTTGGTACGGCTGTTGTGGGCGAAGCGGTTTACCCACGCTGTCACGCGCGGCAGTCTCTGCCACGATGAGTACCAGCTGGCGTTTACAGCCGGCGCCGCCGGAACAGTGACGCACGCTGTCACCCTCATTTCGGCCGCCTCCTCGTCTCCGGGGCGGGCTGTCAGGCAGGCAGGCGCGTCTGGCCAGTCATCAGGGCAGCGCCACAGGAAGGCGGGTCCTTGAACCCATACGCCGCCGGGCGCCAGGCTCGTAACGGCACAGCCGCGGCGGCGGATGCCAGCTGGGTTCAGTAAGCCTGGTATATGACGCCACTGGGGCATCTCAGACGAGTCCTGGATCTCGGAGATGCGGTTGGCGACGAACATGTTGCACCACCGGCTCCCGCTGTTGTGTTTGATGGGCGCGACTCGCACCTTTGACGCTCTCATACGGGTAGCTGCTGCCTCACGGTTGTCTGGAAGTTGCCCCCCGTCTTCACGCCACAGGAGACCGGTTTCATACCGATCGCTGGCCCGTTTCGCGGTGTCCAGGACGGACATCGCTCGGTGTCGCGGTGTCCAGGACGGACGCGGTGTCGCGGATGTCCAGGACGGACATCGCTCCTTGGTCCGCTTCTGAGTGCAGCTGTGCTTTCTACCTTGTGCCAAAGGCTTCTGTCGTCCAGAAATGCTTGACCTGGTTTTGAAGGTCCGGAAGAGCACTCCTTTTGTGACTGATTCGGACGTGGTGCACACGCTTATCACCTGGTGCATACATCAACCGCCACGGCGTGCGGCCGGTCACAGTCCAGCCGAGCAGAGTCCTCACCGCGCTCGGCGTCCCTGGCGTCCCTTCTACGACCTCCCGCGGCACGATTAGTTCGAGCATGTCTGTGCTCAGCAGCACTTCCACCGTTCCGTGGGTCGTTATCGGAATGTCGAGCTCGGTGAGATGAGGCCAACTGTTTTTCTCGACTGACCAGTCCATTGAATGATTCGATACATTCAGAGTGGGCGTCGTTTGAGCGTCGCGAATAACGTGCCTTTTGTCGCCGCTGCCCACAGGCTGGATTGAGAAACACACGCGTCGTGATTGGAGTCGCTCACTTCCTTTTAGGACGCTCAGGACCAGCCCGTCCGAGGGCCCCGAGATACCGGGCCGGTCACAGAGGTCGTCGGTCACCAGCGTGACCTGGCTCCCGAGATCCAGGAGCGCGTGGATGTGTGACTCCCTGAGGGACAGTGCACGGTGATGGGCACTACTTGTAGTAGAACCTGGCTGCGTGGCTCAGTCACCGCTGTGCCGACGTGTTTAGCGTCTGTAGCCGGCGGCGAGCTGTCAATCTTATTGCGCCGTGGGAACACACGCATGCCATTGTGGAGCAG